TCTCTCTCTCTCTCTCTCTCTCTCTCTCTCTCTCTCTCTCTCTGTGTGTGTGTGTGTGTGTGTGTGTGTGTGTGTGCGCGCTCTCAATACCCCACGGGAATCCATCCCATGGCAGTGAGGCAGTGATTATTGTTCTGGTTGTCCTGTATTTTGGAGTGCTAGAATTAAGCACCAGGTCGTTTTCTGCAGCCAGTTTTTCTTATCTCTGTTGTCGTTGTGGTTGTTGTGGTGCTGTGCGTCACGATTGCAGTCGCTCAGGAGAACATTGTGCTCCAACGGAATGCATCTCCCGTCCTTCATCCTTGGATTAATAAGGTCAGCAGCTGATTTTCCTCTCTCTCTCTCTCTCTCTCTCTCTCTCTCTCTCTCTCTCTCTCTCTCTCTCTGTGTGTGTGTGTGTGTGTGTGTGTGTGTGTGTGTGTTGTGGATAACTAGCACTCGTGACTAGTGCCAAACAATGGCCGAGTTGCTTCCCAGCATGTCGTACTGCAATGAACCCAGTATTTAAAACTCGGAATAATTGTGTTCTACCCCCTTACATGTTCCATAAACTCGAAGCTCAGTACGCGCACGTTGGCCCTACGGGTTTCCACAGGTTGGGCCCCGGACCTCCCGTTGCGCAGCGAAGAGTTCTGAAGCTTGACCTTCAGATACAAGAACAATGACCTGCCCACAGCGGACGGGCATGTGCTGCTGCCTTGCAAAGATTCATGCATTCTATGGAATACAATGAATTCGGCCTTTTTTTTTATCCCTTCCCCTCCCCTCCCTTAACCCCCCTCCTCACACCCCCCTCCCTCGTGTGAGACTGGAGTAAGCCGTTAACGTCAGTTGTCGTGTGTTTTGTGTTCTTGGGGATGGTGTCTTTGTGCTTCCGCAGTTCTTCGTCGGCTTTCAAGACGGGCAGTATATGCCAGGGTCAAAGCTTCGCCAAGTCTATCCTAACGACTGGTGAGCGAGAAGAGGAGGTGGAAGAGAGAACGAGGGAGAGAAATCGGGTTAAGAAGAGAGTGCGAATACACAAAACAGGAACCGAAGTGGTTGGTCATCACCTTCAAGAGACAGATCCGCCATAGCCGCGAGCTTGCGAGCTATGGGCGCAGCAGATTCGCCGGAGATGAGAACAAAGCGATGGCGTCGTCGAAACATGCATGCATGCATGCATGCAGGGGCTACCGGGACGGCGAGACATGCGTACGTGTGCTGCATGCATGCAGAAGGGCCGCAGATGGGTCGTCGAGACATATGCATACGTGCATGGAGAAAGATTGATGATGGCATCGTCGTCGAAATATTTGCGCGCGCATGCATGCATGCGCGCGTACGTGCATACGAGCAGAATACTCGTGCATGCGGTCATGCGTGCGTGCGAGGAGAAAGAGAGGCAATGACGTGGTTGGGTCGTGCATTTAATTTGATGGTTTTAGCTCTAGCGTCGTTGTGGTATGCGTGCATGCATGCAGAACGGAAGAATTGAAGAATTGCCGCTGGTGCGTCGTTGAGATTTAGCTCTAGTGTCGTCGTGACATGCATGCATGCATGCATGCAGGGGCTACCGGGACGGCGAGACATGCGTACGTGTGCTGCATGCATGCAGAAGGGCCGCAGATGGGTCGTCGAGACATATGCATACGTGCATGGAGAAAGATTGATGATGGCATCGTCGTCGAAATATTTGCGCGCGCATGCATGCATGCGCGCGTACGTGCATACGAGCAGAATACTCGTGCATGCGGTCATGCGTGCGTGCGAGGAGAAAGAGAGGCAATGACGTGGTTGGGTCGTGCATTTAATTTGATGGTTTTAGCTCTAGCGTCGTTGTGGTATGCGTGCATGCATGCAGAACGGAAGAATTGAAGAATTGCCGCTGGTGCGTCGTTGAGATTTAGCTCTAGTGTCGTCGTGACATGCATGCATGCATGCATCATGCAGAAAGGAAGAAAGAATTGCGGCCGGAGGGTGCGTCGTCGAATCTGAGAGAAGAGGCAGCAGCGGCGGAAAGGTTATAATTCCTTATCCAACGCATCGGGTCGCAAATTTCATCGTAGCATGCCAGGCGATGATGAGGACTGCACTCGCCTGGAAACGACATTGGAGCACGCTAACAAACGAATAAGTAATTCAATACTCGAAAATAGAAGACAACTACAAGGTTAATTTTTGTTGATCATTAGCAGGCTGCTAGATGCGAGGTGAAAGAATCCTTGATTGGTTGTTGCAGTCTCGAGTTATTTTGCGGGATTCATTAGAGGAGAGGAGAGGAGAGGAGAGGACAGAGGATGGGGATTCGGGTTTGTGTGATTAGATAGTAGCGACGTAGAGAGGCCACCTGGACTCTGTCAAAATGTCTATATTTACCGTAGCGAGAGGTCATGCATGATGGGTGGGTATATACTGTAACGTCAGCGAGTGAATCATTGATATGATCTGGACTAGGTGCACGAGCGGCATACAGCCATCTCTAAACCGACTTGCTGAGCGAGAATCCATCACCATCGTCGTCATAAATGGCAGTCTATTGTCGGCACCTCCGTCATCATCATCGTCATCATCACCATTTCAGGACCATGGCAACATGTGTTCAATCATTCCTAGGCCTTCATGACAGCGGACCCACGATGGATGGTGGTGTCCGTTTGCGATAATTGTTTACTGCTCTCTCTCTCTCTCTCTCTCTCTCTCTCTGTGTGTGTGTGTGTGTGTGTGTGTGTGTGTCTTCCTTCGGAGGACGATGATAGCCAGTTGTGTTTTAATCTTTGGCATTCGTCAACAAAAAAATTGGAGGCACGAACGGGAGAGCAGAAGATGTAGGATTGCAGGATTTTATAGAGATTTTCTCTGTGCGCGACGAAGCTTAGCGAAGCTTAGCAGCAAGATATCAGGTCGGGATTCTACGCATTCACCTTGATGATGACGGTGATGATTGGAGCCATCGCAAATATAAAGAAGACTGAATAAATTCACCCTTAGACTACTCGAAAGAAAGGGATTCTGGTTATAAAATAAAATAAAACCAAAAATAAAACAACAAAAAATCCTGAAACCACCGGGCCGGTGAGATCAGGACGTGACTGGGCGTCTACCTTCATGATATAAACCGCATCACCGGGCGAGCAGGCGGACAGGCGGATAGGCGCACAGGAATTACAGGTGGCCTCGCAGGCAGCACAGCGCGTGCTCCGCGATAGGCGCATAGGGATTACGGGTGGCCTCGCAGACGGCACAGCGCGTGCTCAGCGAGAAGAGGAGCAGGAGCAGGAGCAGGAGCAGGCAAACGTACAGGGCTAGAGCTGGAACAGGAATCCGCACGATCGGGACCAGGAACAGAAGCAGGGACGAGGAACGGGAGCAAACCAGGAACAGGAAGAGTAACAAACCAGGAACACCGGGAGCTGGAACAAGACCAGGAACAGGAGCAAGGAAATGGAGCAAGGAAATGGAACAAGACCAGGAACAGGAGCAAGGAACTGGAACAAGACCAGGAACAACAGCAGCAAGAGCTGGAAGCTGGAACAAGACCAGGAACACCAGGAGGTGGAACAAGACCAGGAACAGGAGCTGGAACTGGAACAAGACCAGGAACAGGAGCAGGAGCTGGAGCAAGACCAGGAACAGAAACGAGACCGGGACCAGGAACAGGACGGACTGACTGACGGACTGGAACCGCATCATCGGCGTCTTGCGCTCTCGCTCGGAAATTGCGGTTCGCCTCCGAGTCGGACTGCCAGACGACGAACCACTTCTTCACGTCACGTGGATGTTGTCCGACCCCGGCTCTGCACTTAGACGACAAATAATTGGGGAATCCAATCATTAGAGAGCCACGTGGCTTTCTTCTGCCCATCGATGGCGATGCGAGCGTTCTCTCCTCCTGCCGGCCACATTGCGGTATTGGCGCGGTCCCGATCTGACTGTCGACCATAGTTACGCCACGTGGCAGCGAAGGAAAAGGGAGGTGGTTCTGCTCATCGACGGAGCAAACGGGGGAGCGAAAGGGGCACAACGGGGTTAATGCCACGTGGCAAAGAAACGAAGAGCAATTGATTGGCGTGGTGCAAATGGCTACCGTCTTCCACCGAACACAACGCACCCTCATTATGGACGTATTTGACCGGAAAGATAGCTAGAGTACATACGTGATGAGGGTGCGCTGCGTCGGCGAAAGACCGTTCTGCGGTGAAATCGAGCCAATCAAAAAAAGAGGGATAAGAAGCATGGACGATGGGGAGAACCAAATGACGGGGTCTAACGAAGAAGACGAAGAAGAAGAAGGGCCCCACCATAGCCAGAAAATATTCGGTAGGGTAGTGGGGGGGGAGAAGAGGGGGTGTGACCACTCTTTCTTTAACTTCTGTGTGAAACGGTTTGATGAAGATGTAGAACAAGAAGGTCGCGGAACGCTTAGCAGCGTTTTATGTTCAGACAAGAAAAACATACATGAGAACCAGAGAGATATTGCCCTAGATCCTTGGTTTCTTTTATCTGTTTCTTGTATCGTGTTTTTTTTTTTTTTTTTTTTTTTGGTTGTGTTGGACAGACGGCACGGGGCAGAGGGTGCTTAATGGCCGCCGTGTCATCCTGTGTGTGCATGGAAGTCGATTCACTTGGTGTTGAATCATCTATGGTTACTGATTAACTAAGGCCATCGCCATCGTCATCGCCATCGCCATCGCCATAGCCATCGCCATCGCCATCGCCATCGCCATCGTCACGATGATCCTTGCCATGGCCATCGCCCAGAAAGGAGCTGGTGCTGTGGACTTTGTTGTAATTAGTTTTGAAATGACTCTTATTGTTTCTACTTAGACATTAAATGATGAACAGATTGATTGAAATCTGTTCGTTTCTTCGTGCATGGTGGTAGTTGAGTGCAGTTGTGTTGACGTTTACGTTAAATCAGGTTAGGTTACGCGATTGAAAGCGGCGATTACACGTCAGGTTACGTTAGAGGATGGGCGTTTGTTTCTTTTGGGGAAAGCAAAAGCAGCCGGAGTGGTCTCTAAAGATCCTCTTTTTTTATTCTTTTTTCTTTTGAGGGCGGAGAGATGCGTGATTCCTGTGAGGCAAAGATTCCTTCTCTTCTGGAGATGAATTGAATCTTTTTTTTTCCGTTTAGTATTTGAGGATTTGCGAGAGAGAGAGAGAGAGAGAGAGAAGAGTAGCCTGAATTTTGGAGGTTGTTGACAAGAGTATTGGAATTGAGTTTGGAACTTTTATATTTTGAAAATTTTGAGAGACAAATAGCTACGCGGGTCGGCGTTTGTGTGTTTTTGAATCAGTCGCGTTTGTCTCAAATGCAACATTCATTAAGGGCGAGGTCACACTAGGGCCTTTTATGGTGTGATTCTTGGACCTAATGTCGACCAGATACATCCAGGTCCGGCCGTAACTGCGGTCAGATACATTTAAGATCGAGCTAGTGTGAGTATGCACTCCTCTCATTGTTCGTCATCTCCGTGAGCTGAGAGTCAACGGGTTCTTTTTTTCTCTTTTTTTTTATCTTTTTTCTTTTTTTGTTTTTGGTATGGGGGGCTGGGGGGTGGGGAGAAAGGTCTTTTTTTTTTTTTTTTTTTACGAATTTTTTTCTTGGCGTTAGATGACCTGATATTTTCTTTCATCGTAACGGGATAACATGCGCAGTGACTGTTGTTTCTTCTTCTTTTTTTTTTTTTTCTGCCTCGAAATTGCAGTTTTATCAACAGCGCCCAGTGCCGAAGGCAATTAAGGTCAGGTCGAAGTTTTTTTAGAAAGTGTACAGTGTCTTTCCTCTTCATTATTAAGCAAAATGGAAAGAAAAAGAGGCCGAATGACCTTCCCCCCCCTTTTTTTTTAATAATAAATTGAAAGATGTACTGTAGTTCGACTTATCACCCGAATAGAACGCCCCCAGGTATATAGATGTTTCTGTTCGGATGAAGACGATACCGGAGGTTAGGTGTGTTTTTTTTTATTTTTTTGATACCGGAGGTTAGTAATGTTATACATGAAAAACTAGTTTAAAAAAAACATAAAAGGGAAAAAAAATAAAAACGGTTCTGCCTGCGGGGGGAAAAAAAAGAAAAAAAGAAGGGGGAAATAATCCGTGTGGAGTCAGGGAAAGGGAAAAGGGATTTCTTTACTGCACAGAAACGCGTGAGTGTGTGTGTGTGTGTGCGTGTGTGTGTGTGTGTGTGCGCGCGCGTGTGTGAGTGAGAATGTGTGTGGGTGTGTCTGTGTGAGAGAGAGAATGTGTGTGTGTGGGTGTCTGTGAGAGAGAGAGAGAGGGAGAGAGTGTGTGTGTGTGTTGGGGGGAGGGGAGGGGGAGTAAGTGCGTGTGTGGGTCGCCGAGTTGTGTGTGTGTGTGTGTTTGTGTGTGTGTGTGTGTGTGAGAGAGAGAGAGAGAGAGAGAGAGGGAGAGTGTGGGGGGGGGAGGGGGGGGAAGTAAGTGTGTGGGTCGCCGAGTTATGAAGGCGCGGTGAGATTCGGAGGAACAAAATTCAGGAATAGCATATTAGATTTAATTAATTACGTATTAGTGTTTATTAGAGGATATATGGGGCCCTGGCCCGCTGTCAAGAATGAAAGCGAGGACTGTGACAGTCAGAAAAGTAGTGCTGTATTTTAATAACCGTAGTAAGTGATTTGGGATCAGGACTTGGAAATGGGGAGGGAGGGAGGGGAGGGAGATTGCCAATGTGAGTGTTGAAGAGGGAGGACAAAAAGATCCGTTCGTAGACATCCATCGCTTCTCCGAAGATTTGCGAATCAATTTAATGGCTCTACGAGGTGCACGTACTCGGTGCAGATCCGCACGGATTTCCAAAAGCATGGATGTATGTGCATATGGGCTTATCAACTAGAAACTCCTCCTCCTCCCCCCTCCACGCTCACATAGCCAGCTGTCCGCTACACTTTCCCCCCCCCTCCTCTCTCTCTCTCTCTCTCTCTTCTCTTCCATCCGTTTCATGTGAACCGCTTGCTCAAGGTTGGAAGGGACAAAATCGGCCTGGTCAGAATGAACCTGGACGTAAAGGTGGACGGGTGCATGATCTCCACGTGCACCTCCGGATCCCAAGAGCACTCTCATCATGGCGTTAGTTTTTAACTGCTAAGATGAAGCCGTGGGCCCTCCACCTTGATGGAACGTCACTGCGATCTTCTCGTTCCTTCGGCGGATGACAGCCATGGAAATAATGAAGCCAATAGCTTTCTTCCTTTTTATTTTTCATTTTATTTTGTGTAGCCAATACCTTTCTCGACCTTTGGCCACCGGTAGTGTCAAGTGAAGTGTTTGTTCTGATTACGGTCGGGCATTCCACACGTCGAGTTGCCCTCTTTTCAACTCCAGACCTACTCACACGGTGGGGCTTCTCCAACTGACCTCTGGACCTGATTGCGGTCGGATGCATCAAGGTGAGCTGTAATTGCAGTCAGCTACATTTAGGAGAGTGCCAGCGTGAGTACACCCTCACTAGAAAAAAAAAAAAAAAAAAAAACCACCCAATGATCGACCTGAGGGCCAATTTCCACCGTAGATTACGGAGATCGATGGCCAGAGAGTAAGAAATACTCTGCCATATTTTTGGTCTTTTCTGCATTTGGTGAGTGGTGGTGCGGCGAGGCTCTCCGTGAGAAAACGGAGACCCCTCGTCTTGATTTTATAATGAACTGAGTGTTTCTCTTTTTCTTTAAAAAAGGGAAAAAGAACGGAGACTGTGAGTGGTTCTCTCCACCTGGTATGCTGGCATATAACATACACGTGCCATTTTGCACACTTGGTGATTTTTAATTTTTGTACAGCCAGGCCCTTCATTTCTGACCGTAAAGCATAATATGGGCAACAAGTGGGGTCTTGCCGCTGGTGGAGTTGGATGCTTTTGGAATAATTTGGTGGTGGGGGCCAGGGGAGAGGGGGACAGGAGGCGAAGAGGCGGAAGCGGGGGGAAGGGGGGCGGGGGGAAGAGTGGGGCGGGGTTCGTGCCTTGCCTGGGGTGCATGAATCTGGATGGTTCTTGGCTTGGGGCATTTTCATTGATGGCATCATCACAACCTTTGGCTGTCATGAGGTCGTAAAAGCGGTTGGGTGGGGATGGAAGACGGTGGTAATAGGTAGGCTCTTTTTTTTTTCCTTTCAAGTATGGGTAGTACTTGTCTAGGGCCATCAGATGCTCATGGGGGAGACTTGTAGCTGCCAGTGGGCTGCACAAGCAGTAGTACACTCCAAACCTACCTATTACCGTCTAGCACTATTTGGTTTCTGGGGAAGGGTGAGATTGACGCCCTTGCTGCTGCACCAATCCCCACTGACTGCCTAAGGCACGCCTGGTGCCAGCCAACTGAGAGAGTTGGCTTGCTCCCCCTGGTCGGTATTCATGGGGACTTTAGCCAACACGGGTGTGGATGTGTGGGTGTGTGCGTGGGTGGGTGGGTGGGTGGGTGTGCACCCATTTTTGTGTGTGGGAGAGTGTCGGCCTTAGGCACCGGTGTTACTCAATGCCAATGGAGGTGGTCCAGCGGTGGAAGTAGAAGGGAGGCCCAGGTACTAACAAAATGCTTGGTCTTTGAATTAGTCTTGCCTCCTGCCAATTAAACCACCAGTACTTGACCCAGCTATTGGCCGCCCAAAAAAATAGTCTAAGAGTAGAAGCATTTCCAGTTGCATGAATTCGGGCACGGCTGTAGTGGCCCATACGTTTCCTAAAGTTGTGGCTTGTATACGGGAGACCTTAGGAAGTACTGGTGGTTTAAGATGGCGGGCAACATGCATCCCCTTTATTGAGGATGGTAGCTATGCTTGCAGGGGTCCCCTGTATAGGCTTAGGAGTAGTGGTAGGCAGATAGTACAGGTGAATTTGAGAAAAAAAAGAAAGCTCTCCCCTCCCTTGCCTCCCCCCTTGTTTTAAACCAGCAGCACATTTCAGACCCTTCACGAATGCCGGCTGGGGACCGACCGAAATGCGCCAGAGGGTGATATTGGTTCCTGCTGTTGTTGTTCATGTAACAGCCAGGAAAGGATAAAACATTTAACTTAAAATAAGTTATTTATTTTATTTTTATTTATTATTTTTATAAGCTGTTTTTTCCTCATCGGGAAACAGGCATAAATTTTTCTCTCACCTCACATATTTTTAACCGCCGTTCTGCCATGCCATGCCATGCCATGGATATATTTCTTTCACTGCCTACCAACCACTACTCCTAAGGCTGTACAGGGGAACCCTGCAAGCATAGCTTTTACCTTTCGTCGGTGAAGGGAGGCAACCTCTCTCGGTGGATGGAGATAACGACATGTTTGCCCCTTTGCCCTAGCGTTTAGGGTGCAGGGTTAGGGCCGCCGGTGGGGGCACGACTAACACAAGGACCGAGCATTTGCCAATAACTAAGCCTCCCTTTTCATCTTCCCCCACCCCTATCAGGTAATAGTACTGCCTAAAGCCAACACCCTCCCACACTGCTTAAAGCCAACACCCTCCCACACACCACACACTGTCAGAGTGGAAACCATAAAGGGTATTTGCCCTGTGTTTTCAATGCCACACGTTGTCCTATTTTTAGTATGGATTTTGTTTAAGAGGTTTGACTTAATGAGATTGAGGTGTTGTCAAAACCTATTCAGACTCGGTTGTTGATTAAGAAGTCGATTTTTGTTTTGCTTAGGTACAGCCTACTGTCGGCACTCCATGTTGATTGAGGCCATAAAGATAGACGACCGTGAAAATACTAAATCTAAATTTATTATGTTGAAAATTATGACGCGCGGCTGTTAAGCCGTGCAACTCAGACATTGAGTGGCAAAAAGAAGGAAAGGAGGGCGACCGCATTGCAATTGCCACCGCGGCGCAAGAGCGTAGGGATTCTGTCCTTTTTAGATTAGGAATTGCCCTCCCCCGGGCTAGAACCGGCATCGGAATGGTAAAGGGTTGTGATATGCATCATAGGAATGGACGCGCGCTCGATCCAAGGATCGGCGGTCAACAGTTTGAATGGTAGGGGCAGGCATGGCCTGCGAAGCCACAGGTTTGGCACTCGTTGGGGGCCAAGCTCTTCATATTGAAGAGTAGCTCCTATTTTATGTGAAAACAAGAGCTAGCCCGGTAGGTTGATATGTCAGCGTTTTACATAACAGATGCCAGAATCGAGTGGCACAACACATGGGGTAGCTCATTTTGGATTCGGAGCATGTCGTTTAGGATATGGCATGGTCGATTTTGATCGCGTGATCATCTAGATCTCGCGACCGATTAGCATGACCATTTAAGTTGCGCAAGGATGATGCGCATAAATCGAGCACATAAATTGAGCACAATGGGTTCCTCCTCCATTTCCGGTTGAATATTTTTCACCTTAGGATCTTCGATCCTATGGATGGTGTCGACGCTCGTGAAGGTAAGGGAGT